TTCCTACCATGGCATCTTCCCTGTTTTGAAGTTGCCAGCATTGAGCTCTTTTCTGCCCAGGTTTGTTACAGTGCCAGCAAAGTCCCTCAAACTTCTCTGAGAGCTGCCCTTTTCTGGCCTTGAATCCTGATGACTGTACCAACCTTGGTACCTCTGTGCTGGACTTAACGTAAGGTTCGAATTCAAGAGCTCTGGCCATTGCATCTTGCATAGTAGAGGGGTGTGATTGCTTCACTTGTGGACTGTCCAAGGCATGTACAAACTGATCCCTCAGCAACAGCTTGAGGACATCAAGTGGTGCAGTTGAGTAGGCCTTGTGTGCCGTACTTTCCAAATCCTGTGCCAGCTCTTGCAGGCTCTCCCCTTTGACACGGACTCTAGTCCTAAACTTAGCCCTGTAGACTTTGAACTGATTCTGAGTTTCATACCTGATTTTTAGAGCAGCTATCAGTGCTCTGTAGTTGTGCCTGTTGTCTGCTGACAACTGCCCAAGTATTTCCAGTGGTTGTACCTTCAGGCTCGTTGCGAGGTACACTGCTTTCTGCTGCTCGGTCCATCCATTCATTTCTGCCAGGAGCTCAAATTGTGCTCTATATGCTTCCCATCAAATTCCTCTGGCTTCCTTCGTACTAAATCACCTCTATTGCTAACACTCATGGCAGGACTGAAGATGTCTGCATTTGGGTTTAGCTGCAGAGTGTGGAAGGGGCTTCCTGTTGTAGGGGCTGATTAGGTACATGGCTAATATATCCTCCCTGTGTAAAAGACAGTAAATCGTTCTTTAATTTATTTAATTCACTTTGAAATTCACTAATCTTTTCCATTTGTACTTCTTGTTCCAGTTGCCACTGCTGTAGTCTCTCCTCTTGTTCATTTTCTTTTTCCTCCAACAACTGTTGTAATCTCTCCTGTTTATTTTGCTGTTCGAGCTGCCACTGTTGCAGGTTTTCTTGCCACTGCTGTTGTCTCTCTTCTTGTTTCTTTTCTTTTTTCTCCAACCACTGCTGTAGTTTCTCTTCTTGTTTCATTTCTTTCTTCTCCAACCACTGCTGTAGTTTCTCTTCTTGTTTCATTTCTTTCTTCTCCAACCACTGCTGTAGTTTCTCT